CTTTTGGTTAGAAAGAAAACAAGCGTGCTAAGACTATGTGTAGCCATACTCGTCTGTTTCCCTTACCAGAAGGGTGACTCCTTAAGCTAATCAAGCAGATGACCCTAATAACTAGAATGAAATGCAAAATCCTAAAAATCGTGTTTCAAATACGGGAAAGGGAGTGAAGGGTCATGCAACAATGTAAAACTAAAAAGGAAAAATGAATGAAGATGTAGTGAAGGCATGCAAGAAAGTACTAGCGAGGGACGGTCCTATTGGATCTAACATTGGACTAACCCTTCACTAACGCTCTCTCACAAGCATTGGACTTGTGAGCTCAAGGGAAGACCATGACTAGCATTGGACTAGCCACGGTAACGTGCATTCCTCCACATAATCAGATATAATACTAAAATGCAAATAGAGATGCAAAACACATAGTTTCACATAGCACGTAGCACATAAGCATGCTTATCTAGATGCAAAAGCCTAGGGAAAGCAATTAAACACATAGGCATATAGGTACACGCAAACACATAACACATAAGCCCTATCTATTACACTTGTGGAACCCTACTACAATCTAAGAGGGAAAAGAATAAATAAATAAAATAATAACCTAGCTATTACAACTTTGGCATTAAATTGCCTTTCAAATGATCAAAATTGAACAAAAATAATTTACCAAACTAAAGCCAATAAAGCAAACAAATAAATAAATGAAATAAAAAAAAAACATTCAAGAGGCATACAATCAAACACGTAAAGTCACATAGGGCGCGTAGAGTCAAATAAAGTAAGAAATAAGGGATATGGTGTACCTTCCTTGAATTGGGGCCCTAATGGAGTGAAATTACTTATTTACCCTCAAAAAACAAAGAAAGGGGTCAAGGCATCACTTTAATTAACAAATCATCATAAAAGATAAAAATAAACATGAAATTGAATCAATTAGGTTATGTAAACAATCTACATTCAAGAAATTAAAAAAAGTGAGGACTTAAATGCAAGAATTAACAAAGTTTTGGGGTCCAATTACCAGTATCACAAAGATTTGGGGTCAAAAATTAAAGAAAATAAAGTTTAGGGACTCATTTGCAATTAAAGTAAGGACCCAATTGAAAGAAATTGAAAGTTCGTAGGGCCATAATGAAAACATCCGAAAGTTAGGGAACTGGAATGAAATTATGTCGTCAGGCTTCTTGACTTAATAGGCCATTGGGCCCTTTCTTATTTGTTTGGGCTAAAAACCCTCCTAGCCCAACCGAAATTCTAGTAAAACAGACGGGCTAGTCCATCTATTGGTCCAAACAAAACCCAACTACAAACATATGGGCTCTATCTCTCAAGCCCATGTCAACAACCCAGAAAATAATTCATCAACCCTTTTGTCAAACCCAACCAATAATCCCAAATCAAACCTCATCTTATTTTTGTGGAAAAAAACCCACCAAGAAAAAAACCCAACTAAAAATTACCAAGCTCTGGTTATGCATTAAATCCAGAATTAATCTATCTAAAAATTCACATAAAATATGCAAACAGAGGATTAGACTTAAAGGGTGAAATTAGTTCGATTTTTCCAGATTTTGGGCCACAGTGAAATTAGGCAAAAATTAAGAGGTTAAATTGCAATTTTTTTTAGAAATTTATTCATTCATGAATCGCAGGAGCTTTCTGATGCAACTGAAAGGGAAAAGTTTCTGCAACTTCTGATGCTTCAAAAGTCCAGTGACTTTATACGGCAAAAACGCACTAAATCATCGCAAGATGCGACAACGAAAATGGAAGAAATCAACTTCGAAAATCATGGTTTCTCTTTCCCTCCCCTCGACTAGCGAAGGCCTAGGTTCTGGCCAGCTTTGAACTAGCCAGAGTCTCCTTTCAACGTAAACAGAAAAAGGATAAAATCTCCTCTTTTGGGTTCAAAATTTCCATTCGGACATTTTATCAAACAATAAATGGGCATGGAGAATTTCAGCAATTTCTCGCTCAAATGATGTAAATCAGCGCCCAAAATTTATCCGAAACAAATATTTCAGTCCAATCAACCCATAAAAGCACGTACATCAAAAAATGATGGACAATCAATCAGGAATATTGCAATAACCAATTCACAGAAACATGCTTTGGGATTTCTATCGTTGCGCTCGAAGAAGAAAGAAAACTGATATTCAAAGGGAAAAGGATGGTTTACAGTGCTTTTCCGGTGAAAATTTGCAGGCAGTGGTGGCAAATTCCGGTGGGCGGCAGCTTTTTCAGATGACCTTTCCTTGCTCTGTATCTCGTTCACTTCTTCCCCTCTGTTTTCCTTTACTCTGTTTTAGCTGAAGCCTCCCTCCCCTCCTTTCTCTGTTTTTTCTTCTTTTTCTTGCCAACCAAGCCTCTCTCTCTTTTCCTTTTAGCTCTTTTCTCTAGATTTTTCAGCCATCGCACCCCTATTCTCTCCCTCTGTTTTTTTCCTCCGCCCTCGCTTCCTCTGTTTTTTCTTTTTCATTTTGCCCCTTTTCTCAGCCTGAAGCCCCCCCTTTTTTGTTTCCTTTTCCTCGCTCTATTTTTCTTTACCCACCGTCCGCGCTCTTTTTTTGCTTTCCTCGGTTTTCCTCTCAGCCTAAAACTTCCTCAGTCGTGGCTCTCTCTTTTCTTTCTTCCCCCAGCCGGCCATCCAAGCCTCTTTTATTTTTCTTTCCCCAAAATTCTCAACCTACAAAGTGTCTAGACCCTAACCCTTAGGTGCTTTGTTGTCCAGACACAACACAAAGGACACTTGTCCGCATTGCATGCCCTCACTTGTCATTTTTACTTTTTCCTTTTTTCTTTTTTTTCTGAAATTTAATAGATAAAAAAAATGCTTTTAACTTAAATAAAATAAAATAAAACCTAAGATTGAAACGAATAAGGCTAAAATTAAATTAATTAAATAAACAAAGTTTAAATAAAAAATTTGGTGTCTACATAACATATACACAGTAATAAAATCGATGTGTCAACCTTAAGGATACTAAGTACTGGCGAACCACTCAATCAATCATTAAGTCAAATAGTTGACACTCGTCAACTTTCATGTCTTTGTAGAATCGCCACTTCACACCACTCCGTCCACCTTTTCCCCCCTACCAGGCTCGCACACCACAAATTTTTAGGGTCGGTATTACTGAGAATACCTAGTACAGTATGGATCCAACATACATATACTACCCAAGGTTTGCTTCTCTAATCTAGTCGACCAAGCCATTGCCCGCTTGACCTCGAATAACTAGCCATTGGGTTTTTGGGGCCTCACATATCATTAATATCATATCACATTCACTTATAACAATAACAATTCAGCAGGGTCGTGTGCGATAAAGTACACACTTGCCCATTCATAAACAAGTTCAAAAATGACAGTTCATAGTCATATCATATTTCTCAAACTCATTGATATATCAAGCATATATATATCATGCTACCACACACTTAGAACACTCACCAAATAGCACTTAAGTGTCCACAGAAAGATCGCCTGCACGTTCAGTTTGCAACCCTGACAGACAAATATAACATATAAGTGAATCTTTAGTGTTCACCAATTCATTCATTTAAGCACGAAAACTTTGTTTTCAAATTAGTCAACTACAGTGTCCTAGACACTTCAACCCATTTCACGCTTTCAAATCGACAATTTAGGTAAAAAAAATGTACAACTTTCCATTAGAGCAAAAGCATTTCAAAAGTTTGGACAAGGCTTTCCAATCCTACAATAGTTTTCTAGCAAGCAAATCATAGCAAAAGTCCACTTTTTCAATTACTTACATTCATAGTTTTTGTCCAAAATCATCTCACAAACAACGATAAAAGTTTAATAAGGTTTTTTGAACTAAACCAGCCAAAACTTCATTAAAATAAGGATCCAAAGTCAAATCAGTTCTTAAAGCTGTCAACCACTAAACTTTGGAGTAAATCTTACTTTCATCCCTTTTAACTTCAAAATTTTAATCCAAAATCATTAAACATACCAAGATCATAGTCCAATAGAACCTTTTGAGCTAAATTCCACCCAAAAACAGTTTTTAAAATAGAAAATTAAATCTAGAGTTTTAGCTCAAAAATTCGGCCAGCTTAGGCCATTTTTTCCAGCTTTTGTAACTTTATTTTTTCCAACAAGATAACCACACCACCACTTCATTTTCTTACAAATTTTTCAACATACTTCAACCAACATACATAGAGTCAAGTAGCATCAAATTTATTAAAAATTTTCAGCACAAGTGTACAGACAAGCCACAAATTCAAGAAAGGTAAAGCTGAAAATTTGCCCATGATAATTGGCCATCTGAACAAAAATTCAGCATATATAAATACTGCAATTTTTACCAGCAATTCATCATTAATCATACTCAAATCCTCAAGGGTTTCATCAATCATTAACCCTAGGACTCGAGAGACAAGAATCCACCAAACTTTTAGCCAAATGTGTCAAGGTCTAAGCATACCAAGATCATTAAAGCATCTTTTAACTCTCAAAATCTTTCTTAACTTTACTAATATGTCAAAAAAAAAACTTTACTAATATCTCAACTTATATTCTCCTAGGGTTTTGGCAAAATTGACTAATAAGTCACGAAATCAACAATTTTTAAGAAATTAATCGCTCGATAGTTAAAATAGCAAGCAAGAGAAACTCATTTATCAATTAACAAGTAAATCACTAAATGAATGTGAATTTTACAAAAAATATAATTTAAATAGAAATGCAAATAGTTAGGAAGTGAGAAAATAGTTTTTCTAGTCATCATATCCTCTGCTCCTTAAAAAAATTTCGTCCCCAAAATTCTCACCTGGCCTAGCGAACAGATTAGGATAGTTCTTCCGCATTTCCTTCTCCATCTCTCAAATCACTTCTTCCACTCCATGGTTTCTCCACAGGACTTTTGCCAAAGTGATTTTCTTCCTTCTTAACTCTTTCACTTCCCGATCCAAAAGTTGTATTGGTTGTTACTTATAAGTCAATGAATTGTCAATGTCTAAATCTTCAGGCTGGACTACGTGAGTTGGATTTGGCTGGTACTTCTTAAGCAGGAAGACATGGAAAATATCATGGATTCTAGAAAGACTTAAAGGCAACTCCAAGCGATATGTTACACTTCCCACTTGTTGTAAAATCTTAAACGGTCTCATATACCTTACTCGAGTTTCTTCTCTTTTCCTGTCATGATACTAGCTTTCAATGGTGTAATTTTAAGGAAAACCCTATCCCCAATTTCAAATTCTAAATCTTTTCTCCATTATCTGCATAGCTTTTCTGCAGACTCTGAGTTGCTTGAATCTTTTGACGTATAATTTTTATTTTCTCATAAGCATCTTCAATCCACGGTAATATTGTTGGATCCATGATTTTTCTTTCCCCTACTTCTTCCTAATAAATTGGGGAATGGCATTTCCTCTCATAAAGAGCTTTATATTGAGCCATTTGGATAGTCGAGTAATAGTTATTATTATAGGCAAACTCTACCAAGATTAGGTATTGCCCCCAACTTTCTCCAAAATCCAAAACGCAAGTCCTCAACATATCTTCAAGGGTCTGAATAGTCTTTTTCAATTGTCCATCGATCTGAGGGTGGTAAGTAATGCTAAAATTCAACTTAGTTCCCAAATCTTCTTGTACCTTTTGTCAGAATCGAGACAGAAATCTAGAATCTCTATTGATACTATACTTGCTGGCACTCCATGTAATCTCATAATCTCATCCAAGTAGAGTTTAACTAATTTCTCCAAAAGACACTTCATGTTAATCGGTAAGAAATGAGCAGTCTTAGTTAAATCATCGACTATCACCCAAATTGCATCATAACCCTTCTGAGTCCTTAGTAACCCCGCCATGAAATCCATGGTAATGTGCTCCCATTTCCACTCAAGTATTTTTAACAGCTGTAGTAATCCTGAGGGTTTTTGATGTTCTGCTTTCACCTGCTGACAAACAAGGCAGGTTTGAACGAACCGTGCTATTTCTCTTCATATTATCCCACCAATACAATTGCCTCATGTCTCTGTACATTTTATTACTTCCAAGATGTATTGAATACTTTGAGCGGTGAGTTTCTTCTAAATTTTTCTTTTTATTCCATCATTCTTTGGCACCACTATTCGATTTCTAAACCTTAAAACTCCATCGAATCCCAAGCAAAATTCTGGATGTTCTCCTCTTTGAACTCTCTCACTCCACTTATATACCATAGGGTCTCCCTTTTGAGTTTCCTTAATGCGTTCCAACAAAGTAGACCTCACAACTATATTCTCGCAAATCACCTTTTGATACTCAATTTGAGGATTCCACTCACTAATTCTTTCTAATAAATGTCATTCCTTGATCATAAGCCCGACTATATGAACTTTTCGATTTAGTACATCTACTACTACATTAGCCTTTCTCGAGGGATAATTAATGGTGTAATCATAGTCTTTCAAAAATTTCATCCACCGACGTTACCTCAAATTCAACTTTTTTTGAGAAAACAAATACTTAAAACTTTTATTGTCAGTATACACCTCAAAGGTCACCCCATATAAATAATGTCTCCATTTCTTGAGGGCGAAAATCACCGCGGTTAACTCCAAATCATGAGTCGGATAATTTTGCTCGTAAGGTTTCAATTTCCTTGAGGCATAAGGTATTCCTTTTTCTTTTTATATCGTATAAATTGAGAAACTATCTTTCCCACTTGACAAAGTCAAAATCGGTGCATTAGTTAATTGTTTCTTCAATTCATGAAAACTAGTCTCACACTTGGCACCCCAAATAAATTTGGTATTTTTCTTGGTTAACTCAGACAATGGCCTAGCAATCTTGGAAAATTTTGGGATAAATCGACAGTAGTAACCTGCTAAACCAAGAAACACATGAATTTCGGTGGAATTTTCTAGTTGCTTCCACTTAGATACCGCCTTCATCTTCATTGGGTCCACAGTTATTTCATCCTTAGAAATTATATGCCCAAGGAAGGACATCTCATCCAACCAAACTCGCATTTTCTAAATTTAGCATATAACTGACGTTCTCTTAGGGTTTACAGCACTATCTTCAAATGGTATTCTTGGTCTTCTTTTGTTTTTGAGTATACCAAAATATCATCAATAAAGATCACTACAAACTGATCTAGATAAGATTTAAAAATCCGATGCATTAGATCCATAAAAGCTACCGGGGTATTAGTCAATCCAAAAGGTATAACTAAAAATTTGAAATGCCCGTATCTAGAATTAAAAGCAGTCTTGGGTACATCCTCTTCTTTAATCCTTAGTTGATAGTATTCTTGTCTAAGATCCAATTTAGAAACACCACAATTTCTTGTAATTAATCAAATAATTCATCTATGTGAAGCAAAGGATATTTATTCTTAATAGTAAAATCATTCAACCCTCAATAATCGATGCACGGTCCCAAACTCCCATCTTTCTTCTTAACAAATAAGACTGGAGCTCCCCAAGGTGAATCACTCTCACGTATAAATTCTCACTCCAGTAAATCTTGTAATTGCAACTTCAATTCTTTCAACTCAATTGGTGCCATCCTATAAGAAATTTTAGAAATAGGCGCAGTCCTTAGCAACAAGTCGATCTTAAACTCCATATCTCTCTTAGGTAATAACGAGACTAACTCTTTAAGAAAATGTCGGGAAAATCTTTCACTATTGGTATATCTTCCAACTTCACTTGTTCCCCATGGGTGTTAATTAGGAAGGTTAGGTACCCTCGATCTTCTTTATTTAGTAATTTCCTAACTCGAATCCCTGAAATGAGAGCTGACGAGGTTAACTTTTCTCTCACATCCAACCTTAATATTGTTTCCTCTAAAATGCACAATTCCACGACTTTCATCCTACAATCCAATCAAATATGATATTGAACTAACCAATCCATCTCTAAATTGATGTCATATCCCTTAATCGGTAACTTATTAGGCCAGCCAACAACTTAAGCTCTCCAACCCAAATCTTGCAATTTCTATACACCAAGTTAGAAGTCAAGCATTGATCCCCCGTGGGTATTCTAACTTTCAAATCATGAGGCAATTTGGCAGGCTTTACATTTACCCTACTCATAAAATCAGGTTTCACAAATGAATGAGTCACACCAAAGTTTATTAAAACCTTAGCTAAGCAATGGAATACAGGAATTGTACATTCTATAACCTCAGTCGAGTCAGGGATTTGTTGATGATCCAAGACATAAACCCTAACCGACACTTTAGGTCTACCCCCTACTAAATTCGTTGGCTTAGTAGTAGGGTTATCTGATTGTTGGGTGTTACTTCCTTCTGAAGACATGAGCGGGCAACTAGAAATCTGATGCTCGACACTTCCACAGTGAAAATACCTTTTTTCTTTCCTCTAACAATTGCTCTCAATATGACCTGACTTTCCACAATAACCACAGGGTGCATGAGAGGTTACTCCCTGGCCTTCTTGTGAGGTATTCTTTGACTGTTCCAGACCACTTTGGCCTCTTCGTGCTAGAACCACTATAGGTGGCTCTAACATTCTAATTCCACTAGTCTCTCTGCCAGTCTTAGGAGGTGGCATGCTCTTGTTGCTTTGCCCTAATGTGCCACTCAGTATATTTCTTTTTCTCGCTTGAAAGGTTTTGACTTGAAGTCTTGCACTCTCGACCCTGTGAGCCTTTTCTAATGCCTCGACGAAGGTATCAATTTGAGCTGCTGTTAGAGTCTCCTGGATCTCCACATTTAGCCCTTATACAAATCTCTTTACCCTTTTCGTTCAGTCACGACCAATTCCGGAGCAAATTTTGAAATCCTAGTAAATTGAGTTTCATACTCCGCCACACTTAAATTGCCTTGCCGAAGTCTTATAAATCCATCCTCTCTTTTTTCTTAAATCAAAGGAGGAAGGTACTTCTTGTTAAACTCTCTCACGAAATTTGCCCAAGTCCAAGAGGTCTGATCTCTTTCCTACTTAATTATTACAACATTCCACCAAGATCAAGTCGCTCCCCCAAATTGAAAAACGGCGAAGGACACTTGCCGCTCTACAGTGTAATTTAGGGTAGTAAAGATATTTATCATCCTTTCGAGCCAACTCTCAACTATTTCAGGGTCAGACCCTCCCAAGAACTTAGGTGGAAAAAATTTTTGGAATCGTTCTAAAGCTCTGTCTACTCCTCCCTTAAAACCCCAGGTTGAATCATAGGTTTTTGACCCTGCTTATGCACTATCCTCTCCAAGAGGTCAGTCGTTCGATTGATGGCCGTAGCCATTTGGTCACCTACTTCGGCCCTTGGCCCCTGATTTTGATTAACTGTAGATCTTTGGTCACCCTTTGCTCTTGGGATTGTTTACGTCTCTGACCACGACCTTGATCTCGACCATCCATGGTTTTAATACAAGTCTAAATATACATAAACAAAATTTAACTACATGTACAAGCTATAACACCAATTAAAAGTAAAATAAACATTTCATTCTCAATAACAAGTTATAGACATATACATTAGACCAAAAGAGTTCATAAGATTTTTCAAATCAGGAGAGATAGGCTAAAATACACAAAATACAATACCCAAACTCATCAAGAGCACAAAAATATCAAAAGAAGCCCTATCTAACTACTATCCCTGGTACACAAAAGAAAGGACTTTCAAAGTGCATTATCGTAGTCCATAACAGAGCCAGCAGACTCTCTCTCATGAGTAGAACTTGCTGCATTTGCCTCTCTAAGGGCTCCATCGCCCTGACCCTCCACAGGTGCATTAGTGCCAATCACCCCTGAAATAGTGCTCCACACTTGTCAATGATACCCCTAACTCAGTCCCTGACCTCTCTGACCACCCTAGTGAGGGGGCCATTAACTACCTGTAGCTGCTCTTTAAAAGCATTCGTTCTCTCTTGCTCCATCAATATATCCTCTCGGAGCTCCTGAATCCTATTAGCCTGCATCCTTGATGCCTCTCATCTTCTGAATCTCAGTCTGAGCCCTACAATTGGTTCCAGCTAACCTCCTCCTCTTATCATCTACAACTAGAACTACTCGGTCAGGATACAAGTAGATCCTCCAACAATCGC